AAGATCTGAAAGTGCAACAGCAAAGTTTGAAGTCAAACTGGTTGGAGCTTTGAGGAGGAGCAGCAAGCACAAAAAGGCCTGTTTGCTCTTCTTGAGCTGGCTGCCATGAATGGAGTGGTTTCAACTTGTAGGAGCCTGCACTGCAGCATCCAGGAGGCAGGATTTTACCCTGGAAAACACACTGCTATAGCAACACCCTCCTCTCCTCAGGGAAAGATGTGCTTGCCAGAGCTGGCTCAGAAGAGATGGTTGCACGAAAGCAGCAATGGGTGAAGCTCAGGCAGTGTCCTGTACTCGTTCTGGTGTTCTCATGCAGTGAGTGGCTCAATGGCAAGGCTGGAGATGCAGGACACTAGGAATAAATTTTAATTGTGGTTAAGGTAGCATTTGACTTTCATCTCAGCTGAGGAAATCTGCCTGTTAGGTTTACACCTATAGCTAGCAGCTGTGCTCTTGGTGGGCTGATGGGGCCTTCCTGTGCTCCCCAGTAGCACAGACTTCAAGTCAAGACCATGAGCAAGCTCAGTGTCACCATTGCAGAGTCTCTTGTGGACAGAACTTTCCTGTAGATCTGTATGCTGTGGCTGTAGTCTCTGGGCTTTTAAGTCTTACTCTGCTGCATTGACTCCACCTGGCGTGCTAGTGTAGGTCCCTTCTAAAGTTTTATTTTCTCTTTCTGTATTATAGAAAGGCTTTAACAGTAGTGAGTATTGGGGGCTGGGTGGAAAGCCTTCAGTCATGTAGCCTCTAATTACTGCAAGACCCGGTGCATTCCTTAATGTCTGAATTTCCTTGATGCTCTGTGAACTTCAGACCACCTGGAAGCTGTACTATAACTACCGGAAAGGGTGGACAGTTTCAACAGTTTCCGATAGAGAAATGAGAAAGGAATGCTCATTACTGGATGTTAATAATCAATATCTGTGGAAAACAAGTTCCCTTTTCACTTAAGAAAATAGAAACTTCACTGTAACACCTAGAGAAACCTGGTCATTGTGTTTCTAGAGGTAGTAATTATGATATGCCTGGGAAGGGAGTAGTTCCTCTAAGCTGCTAGGGCTTCTCATTCCTTCACTAGCATGGGAGAGAAGGAAAAAAAATAAGGCAAGTCCAAAAATCTCACCTGTGGGAATCGGCTTGCAGCTTTGGTCATCCTGAACACACTGTGACAGCTCTTCTGAGCTGCTTATGTGGGCAGAGGGTTTATGATAATGGTTGTGCAAAATATGGAGACTGTGGAGGCATCAACACTGTGCTCTAGCATAGATCTGCAATGCAAGTGTTGCCTTGAGGTATGTCATGGAGTCCCACCACACTTAGTGATGGCACACAGGAGCCTACTTGTATGCAATGGCTCAAAGAGCTAAAGTTCTGGTTATGCTGTATGTTGTGTGTACTTAATCTGAATCAGGTAACCAGTGCTTTGCTATACCTTGTTGTGAAGCAGGATGTTTGGTTGGCCCCAGGACCTAACCCTTGCCTTGATACACTGTAATGCATGAACAGATTGTGATTTTTAGCTAAAAATGTCGTCTACTCAGGCATTGATTACATTACATTGCCAACTGCTAAATGTTGGGGGGTGCTGCTAAATGTTGTGGGGTGACCTACAATTTGCTTGGTTGAGAGTAGATTTATCTGTAGTGTACACAAGAGTAGCACTGAATTACAATAATCTCCTTAATGAATGTGAAAAAGCAGGTGCTTACTGTGCAAAAGTTAATGCTCCAGTTCTGTGCACCTCTTGCACTTCGTGTTTCTCCACTGAATTGCCAAACCTGTAACTCATGTTTACAGGGAGCAGAAGCGTTATGGCGGAACAAGTGAAGTTTTTGCAGGGCAGAGCTTAATATAGGTATTTATATTGGTATAAATAGATGCAACTCCACTCTGCATCTAAGTAAACCTGATACAGGAAGGTAAAACTTTGATCCCAGTCATGCACTCTCCTTTGTGCCAAATATGCTTGTGTCCCAGCTCTTCCCCGGCCCCAACAAACCATTTAAGTTCTTGTGCTTCATCTGTGCCAACCTGTATCTGCAAAACAGCGTCCTTCAGATTTTGACCAGCGTTGCTGCCTTGTCATTTGGGAGGTACCTTCTGCAAAACTCATCTACAGAGGCAGATTGTATTTGTCTAAAGACTTGAATAACTTCCCCGCTCGAATTTCACAGGAGGATGGGAAAGGAGAGAGGCTGGGAAATGTTTAACTAAACAGGTCTTGCTTCTGTTTAGCAATGAGCCCATTATTAGCCAAACAGGCAGCAGCTTAATCTCACCTTTTAATGTCCCTGAAAAACTGTTACAGAAAGCTTTCCCTGAATCACAGAAGCTGATGCCTAGTCGAGGAGCTTGGTTTTCTGTGAGGTTTTTGCCATGTGCAACTAATTGACTTTCCTCTTGATTTACTGGAGTCTGGGGGTGGAAAACCTGACAGCCAGGGGCAGCTGCTCTGCTTGAGACACCTCTGCAGATGTCCCCTCAAATAGCTTGTTTCCATAAGATGCCCAGGCACTGTCAGGACCGTCTGTCTAGGTTGGTGGTTTCCAGGCCACAGTGACATGTTCCAGTACCTGTCATGATAGGACTAATCTAGAAGCTCAGGAAGTGTTGGGTGGGAGTGATCCTAGCTGTTTTTATTGTAGAAGCACAGCAGTAGTCCTAAACGTGGGTTCTGGGCTTCTGTCTTAGCTTCAAGCTAATAAGGCATCATTGAATTTCCTCTTGGCAGGCAAAGGAGGTCTTGTTTCCTGCCAGGTAAGGGTGATGCCCTGTGACAGGCCCTGTGTGATGGTGCCAGCACCTTGTGTAGTCCCTGTCCAAAAGTAGCTTCTGAAGTGACTAAACTTCTGTGCTACTGATGGCCAGAAATTAGGTGCAGTTTCTGGATTCCTTTCCTCTGTTGTTGGCACAAGGCATTTGGTGAACTTCATGTGATGTCAGGTTAGATCACCTGTAATTGTCTTTAGAAAGGAATTGTTGCTCTTAAGAGTTTGCATTACAAAATATGGAAGGTGGACACTGATGTATGTTGGTGGGGGAGTAGTGCAGGTGCTGATGGAAAGGACCACTCTTCTGCCCTTGTTGCTCCAGTGTCAAAGCTACCAGCTGACTACTGGCATGTGTGTATATAAAGCAGAGCTGAAATTGCTAGAGAAATCTCTTGGGGGACAAAAAGTATAGGGAAAAGACTTAAAACTCATCTAATGACATCCTGGTGAACTGATTAACCTGAAACTTAAATGGAAATTTATTTTTTTTCTTTAAGGGTAAAACTTATTCACAACTGATGGCTTAGTAGCTGAAGTGGTTTTGCAGGCTGATGGTAACATTTTGTTAACAGGAATCCCCATACTCCATCTTGTATTGCGCATAACCACAAGCTATATTTGACTAGTGAGACATGCAGAAGTGAAGGGGAATAAAACAGAACAAGCTTCTTTGCTTTTTTTGGCAGGCTTTTTATTTTCTTGTTGTCACGGCCTGTTTTTCCACACTTAATGAAAGTAAGTCTCAGCTTCTGACTTGACTCATGCTTAATTCTTTACTTGCTCCTAACACCTGACTCTGGCTTGTTTTATAACTGACATACAAGCTCTAGTTCATCATGAAGGATGGTAGTTGCAGTCTGGCTGGTTTGGGTTTTTTTCTGTCCTTTTTCTTGTGTGATGTACTTCTCATTACAAGGAGCTTTCTGAATAAAAGATGAGTGTAGTCACACTGAGGAGAGTTGCTAGACATCATGCTTAGCCATGTTGGATCAAAGGCATTACGTGAATAAGTTGGAAAACTAATAAGTGCTTTCTCAAATGAGAGCCTTTGTGGTTTAACACCAATTCTAGTTTTTTTTGATAGCTGAAAGTTGCATAAGGTTTCTCTTAATTGAGGAGGGAGGGGGGGAAGCACAACTGATCTCCGCATCGAAGTGTTTGGCTGGGAGGTTAGCTAAAAGAAGCACTTCTGTAATAGCCTTTATTTCTTCACCCACCATGCAATATCCATTATAAATGTTGTGCAGCTGATGGTTTAATGCAATGAGACTCCAGACCAGCTAGTCTTCAAATCCACTTCTTTTCTATTTAGTTTAGAGAGAGGCCAGTGACAATATACTCATCTCCCTTTCTCCCTTTTTTCTCTTTCTCTGCTATGTTGAGACTGCTTGAAGTTCCTGCAGATAGCATCAAGTGTCCTCAAGCACTGAGTTGTCACCTAAATTAAAGCAGCTTTGTTCTGGTCTGTACTTGGTGATGAGAGTTGCTTGAAATGTCTTCCTACCATAAAACCCTTGGTTCCTCTGATGGTTTGTCATATGTTCAACTGAGTAAATGAAATCTGTTGTTAAAATCTGGATGGAGCTTGCCATCTGCTACCAACTGTTTAAAAGCCAAGCAGACCTCAATATTTGCTTCCCTCTGAATTTGCACTAGACATCCACAACATCATTTGTAGTTCACAATCAAATTTCACTCAAACATTTCTCAATTGCTTCTGAAAATACAGAAACAAAGGCTGATCTAGGGCTTTGATTGCCCAGCATCTGGGGAAGTACTCAACAGTGCTGTCAAATTTAGAAAAAAGGTGTTAAGAAGTAGCAGCAGAGTAGGGAGAGAGTCAGATCCATTACAGGAAGGTCCCTAAGCCACCAGCTGCGTGCTTGGCATCCCTGAGCTCCTGGAGATACTGCAGTCCCTAGTGACCTCACTCTGTATAGGATTTATTTTTAACTTCATGTAGTTCAAAGGCATGTTAAAATGTAAATCGTCAAAGTGTTGAGTTTAAAAGAATGACAATGTGTGTCCTACATGGGAGTGAGGAGTGCTATGGAGAGGAATGAATTCTAAATATGGAGATGACACTTACTCCATCAGCTTGTGTTGCATCTGCAAATGCTAGTTGGAAACTTTCCAGTCTGTTCTTTAGCACTTGAACTGGAACATCTAAGACAATGACTTTTATGCAAGACTTGGGAACTGAGCGTGGATTCCCCTTCTCCTTTGCAGGTGCTGAAAGCATCGTTGCGATTATGATTGGCAACCTGAAAGGCATGGAGATCTTACACCGGATTCAGAGTGGCATGGTAGTGTCTATGGTTATTGAAGTGGGCAAAAAGCATGGTCCTTGGATGAATCAGTACTCCATCTTCTTCATCTCTGTGTCATTCTTCATCGTCATTGCAGCAACCATGGGCTACTTTATTTTTTATTCTGCTCGGAGACTCAGGATTGCAAGGGTCCAGTCCAGGAATCAGGTGAGTTTGTGCATGCCATTGCATTTTTTTGTACCCCCGAGTCGTCATGCTGTGAATCTTGAGGGCAAAATTCTGGTTGAGCACCAAAATTAATGAATTTGTTCATTCCACAGGAAGGAGAGTGATCTTTAAAATGCTAAGAGAAATCTTTGAACAGCTTAAAGCTTTCCAGAGAAACAGCCAAAAGTAAACTGTCTGGAGAAAGCAACTGATTATGTTTAGCTAGCTTTGTCTCCTACAAATTTTACTTCTTGAATTGTATTGCAGCCGTAACGCTGATGTATTGGGGGCGGTGAGAGCTGAGCTGCTTTTAGCTGACCCTCACGCTTCCCACGCAGCGCTGCCTATGTGCTCGCTGTAATGTGAGACACGACTGCAAATGTGGCTGTAACGGTGCATGGCTTTGGCCGCCTTTCTGTAGACTACAAGTTGGGAAGCTGCTGCTTGTTGAAAGCTGCTTTCTGACTGAAGGTTTTGAGAATTGCAGTGACGGCCTCAATTAGGAGTTGAAAAAAGGCACTGTTAAATTGTGGTTTTTAAAACCCCAGGCAGGGTGTTGCTAATAAGTTAGGTTTGCAAGTAACTCATCTATGCAGTAATCTGATCAGCTGATAAGACTAATGCTTCCAGCTTTGTCTTGGGTCTGATCGGACCCACCTTATACCTGCTACTTCAAGGCTTAAGAAAAAGCCTTAAAAGTGAGAATAAAGTCCTGGCATGACATCTGTCAAAGGTGATGGGCAGCAGCAGGAACAGGATCTGAGTGGCTCCGATGTAAGGGTGAGGCTGAAATAAGTACAGCTGTGTTGCGAAGGAGACCATTGGTATTTGCAGTGCTGCTTATAGGAGCTACCTGAACTCTGAGAGAAGAGTTGTTAGAGTCCTTTCCCACAGACAGCAGTAGCAGGAGCATCTCACTCTAGCTGGGCTCAGAGTAAGTAAGTTATCTCTGGATCAGTGGTTAGATAGTTAAAGAAGTGGCAGACTTCTCTGCCATTGCAGAAGAGCTGCCCTACTGACCTCCACTGCTGTCCTGGAGACTTCAGGCCCCTTGAGCAAGATGCTTCTGAAATAAGCTGATGAAGCTTAGAAGTTGGACACAGGTGGTGTTGAAATTCAGACCAGTTTCAGGCTTCTGTAGCATTTTAGGACTGGCTTCTTTAAACTGTGAACAGGCAGAACCATCGTTGTTCTTGGCAGGCAGAGAGACTAGCTAGGGTGAATGACAGCAATATTCCCAGAGGTGAATGCTGGGTTCTCTCTAGTAATCACAGAGCCCAACTCAGTTGAGTTCATGTTCTGAAATCCTGTTGTGGATAATGTTCAGCTGATGATACCCTTACTAAGACTAACAATGTAACTATCCTAACTGGCCTAACAATGAGCTGAAACTGCATTTGTGCCTCCTTTAAGCTGTTTCTGCCTCAGCATCTGGACTAGGTCTCCTGTAAGTGCTTTGGTTTAGCCTGTTTGCGAGTTCTGGTGTTATGCCATGCCTGGAAGTGGCGTGAGGGTACGACAAGGGAATAAGGATACAATAAGGCAATAGTTGAAAGAGCAGTATTGGAATTTGAAATCTGCCAGTGGAGTAGCATTGCCACTCCTGGATGTCATATGGAGTTGTCTCTGTAGCACCTTTCACGAGGGATGGCATGGAGCTCTATAATTTGATGCTGTCCTCTTGTTGGCATCTGTGGACAGAAATGCACACTGCCTCCTGCTGATGAATTCCCTCTTCCATTCCCTGCCATCCACCCTAGTGTGAGAACGCTGATGATAAACAAACCTGGGCAGGAAAAACTGGATACCCTAGAAGCTAGGGTGCAGAAGACACTGTTTATCAAATGACATGAAGATTTTTCCTCCTCTGAAGGTACTTAACAGAGTAGTTGTGAAGTTCGATTCTGAGCTGTCAGGCTTTCAACAAGCAACCAATGTTATTAATGCCTCAGTGGTAGACAGTACTGGGAAAATCCAGTCTGCTTGGCTAGCACATTCACAGACTGTTTCTGTCTTGGGCTCTGTGTTCTACAAGTTTACTGTAGATTGAAAAATAACATTGATAAATGACATGCCAGTTCCACATGATTTCAGCTGAACTGAAATTAAGGAGCCTTAAGAAGTGCTTAATAAAATGTAAGAATAGAAGAAAGCTTCTCTGCTATCAGGGGGTAAAAATGTATTATTTTGTAAAAGTGAAATTCAAGACAATCCAGAACTGTTTTCAATTGTGTTTATACCATGGCATCTAAAAGCTCACCTCACAATGATTAGATAAGCAAAGAATAACAAGTTCTTGGTAGTGAAGGTGCACTACTAAAAGGTGACTCTACAGTGTTCCCTGTTAGCCAGCTGATTGGATTTTCAGCGTATATCCAAAGTTTGAGACTTCAACTGCTTTGGCTCCATAAAATACTGAATATAAGTCAAAACAACTGATCAGCTTGCATGCTACATGGGGAGCTTTCCTGTCATCGTTCAGCCCTTTGGAAGCTCGGATTGCCTGGACTTCAGTCTGTTATTTGGTGGAGCAAAGGAGTGCGTTTTATCTCCTTCATTGCACAGATGTCGAAGGGTTATATGTTCTTTTGATTGGTGTCTTTAGGATAAACAGTCAAGTGTGTCGATAGTAGAGTATTACAAATTTACCCTCTTTCAGAAGTGAACCGCTGTTCTGAATTGCATCTCCTTACCTGGTGCTACTACTCTTCAAAGTATCTGTCTGCTTTTTTAACCTTCCCTGTGGGATTATATTGCTATTGTGTGAGGAGTCTTTTAAAGTCAGTCTGCCACTTGAACCAAAACGAGCACTTTTGAATTGCTGTACAGAGGGCTATGATGAGCTAATTGTGATATGTGATAATGATGCTCTGCAGCTGGTCTTGTATGTTCAAGTTCCTGAATATTTGGCTTGTTCTTGTGGACTGAGCCACAGCCTCAGGAGAGCTCTTGCCCTGGACTGAAAAGGATGATGAAGTTTGAGTCCCATGTGCTTCCTAAGGGGTAGAAAGAAAGAGAAGAGATCATTTTCTGGATGCTTTGTCTCTCCTTCAAAGGCTTCTTGGAAACAAGAGCCTGGCTAGATATGTGTTTTCATACATGGGACTAGTAGTAACCCCTGCTTGAATTGGATGGCTTCCAGGTATTACCATATTGGCAATATGTTTTCCCTTTTCTTTTGACTTGAGAAAAACCTTCAGACTGCAGTGCTTTCTGAAGCAATCTCATGTTTTATAGACAGCCAGGCTGTTGAGTACCTTTTAAACTTTGCTCTTTGCCAACGCCATTTCATACTCCTTGGTATGACTCTTGCTTCTTCTGGTGAAGGCACTTTTTCTGGATAGCTTGATCACATATAACACAGGTTTTAAACATGTTCTGCCCTGCAGACTTTTCTTGAAGGCAGCAGCTGTCTCTCACTCAGCTTGAGCAGGAATTGCATACAAGTCAGTAATGTAAAACTTTAAAAAGTTGAGTGACTATTGAGAAGAGCTGGTCATGTTGTCTTGCAGTTCAAGTGAAAACGTAAAGCACATCTGTCCTGACTGTGGGTTAAAATAGAGTAGCTTTTTCCTCATGAGCCAACTAGCTAAACTGTTTACAACCTGCTAGCTCTTATCTGAATGCATGTTTCCTTCTGGGCTTGAAATTCAAGTCCTGATGTCTGCGATCTTTTACTGCATTGTGAGGTCTATGAGCAAGAAGGTGGAAAAACAAGGTAAGTGTGGTAGGTAGCTTGCTATCTTTCTGGTCAGCAGAGTACTGGCAAATTCAGTTCCTCAAGATGTTAACCTTTCTTAATAATGCAAAATGGCCAGTGATGTTATCTGTGGCCTGGTTTCTAATTTAAGCTCAAGTCCTTCACTTCCATTGATTTCATAAAGATTAAATTTTGCAGCTGAGAAATGACCTAATTAATGGCTTTGGAGGAGATGAGTTGCTCAACTTTCCCCAATTCAAAACTTTTCATGGCAGTAGCTATCTGTGGGGAAGAACTTCCTCAACTTACAGGAGAAAAGCAGTTCCTGACATCCTTAGAGCTTGCTGGTCTGCATTGCCGTGACCACGCTCGCAGGTCATTTCCTTATGCAGCAAGGGTTAGAGATGAAATTGGCAGCATTGGACTAGGGAAGGAATAGGGAAGACTGAAGACTAAGCAACCGCAAACCTAATTTTCCCAGTTACATACCTCTTTACTTCAACATGCCATGGATAGGAGCTGGGACCTGACCTGTTTTGTAATATCTTGATTCTTTTTTTTTTTTTTTCCTGCCTCAACTTAGCTAGTTTTTCTAGCGTTGCTGGGTTGGGGCTTTTAGACTTTCAACATCATTAACATTTAGCGTTTGCTTGAAAAACTTGGCTTCACAAAATGCTTTGACATTTCAAGCTTGAGTATCCTGGATCTCTTAGTAGGCTATTCAGTAAAAAGCTTCCTCTTGCAACCTTTCTCCATCCCCCCGGAGGGGTGTTCTGCTGCACTTACCAAAATCAATGTTAAAGGTGACTTTGCCATTGATGCATTTCATGAAGAGCAGCATTTAAACTTGTGCCCAGGCAAAATTTAAAATATCGTTTCAGTAAATTATTAATGATACAGCCAGTTGGGTCCTGTCTAATGTGCTTGGCTTGACACTGGATGTGTAGCTTAGATACTGTATGAGGGAGTACATTCCTAGAAATTTTAGTTTTCAATTAATAACAAGTAGCAGTGACACAGCTCTGGCTGCATATGAGAAGTATGAGTATTGCTTTCTTGCTCTGTTGATGTTACCACATCTGCTGCTGAAACTTTTGGGGGCCTCAGTGTTTACTGAGATAAATATGTGGCTTCAGTCTGAAACGTTGACAAGGGGAACATTCTAAAGTTCACCTTAAGTGACATACAGAAACATATGTTGATGCCTTCAGCAGAAGAGCTTTACAAACTTCAAAGAAAACTTGATTAGTTCTTATTCCTAAAAAATATACCTGAAAACTTGTTTGCATGCTTCACCGTTGGATCGTATCTCTTCACTGATAGTTGTTAGTAGCTATCAACTATTAAACTCTTGGAAGGGTGCACATTGATGCTGTATCTCAGGACCCCAAAATGACACCGATATACAAACAGGTCACTTTGCACCAAAACTGGCAGGGTCCCAGCAGACCATATAAATCAACTTGTTAGCCATTAACTGCTTCAGCACAGGGAGTCTTATGCAGACTTGAATTACCAGTTCTCGCAGTTTGTTAGGTGTCAGCAGCAGCCCTCCACCCACTTGTTCCTTCTGTACTTGTGCCACCAGCAGTGCACCTTCGTCCCAGAAAAAATTCTTATAACCAAACTAAAATGGGTAGGGGGAAGTAATGCTGGAAAGCTAACAGCGTTGGGTTCCTGCACTGAGCAGCTGAATTGGGAAGAGGATTTTTGATTAGCTGCAGAACTTGAGTCTAGTCTGTCTTTAAGTGCCATGTTGGGACGGCACTGTCAGAGCTGCCTGATAGTGCTCTGTGTCCTTAAGCAATGAGGGCACCTGGGAGGAAGAGGACAGTCATATTCTTGTTGGTGGAACAGCACCAACTCATGACCTTTAAACAGAGAAGTTGGCTCCTGTGCTAATTAAATGCTTTGCAGTGACAGCTGGACAGCAACAGTCACCAGGCGAGCTGGGCTTCTGCTGCCTGCTCATCTCTGTCCTTCTATCCCGACAGCAGCAAGCAAATGATTGCATGAAGGGGAATGCTTCCTCCTCTGCTTTCATTAAAGCTGCCCTGTAATCCACCTGGGGCTAGTCATTTGATTTGTTTCACACTTTGTGTCATGGGGAGGAGGAGAAATAGCTCTGAGCCTTCTTTCTTTCTTTTTTTTTCTTCTTTTTGCATGTTACTTTGAACCAGTATGGAGATAAAACTGCATTCTTCCACTTGACAGGAGTGGTTGGTTCTAGGAGGCTCCTGAGCTGTCTGTGTGCTCTGTAAAGCAGTCATGGCAGAGGACTAGTTCAGGGTGTGTTGGTGGTAGCTGAGTTGATTGGTAAAGAATCTTGCCTTTCATCAGGATGTGAGTTTGTGGCAGGAAGTTGTCATAAAGTGAGTAGTTAAAATTATTGATTGTCGGACTTAATGTTCTGTCTTCTGTACTAAGTCAATTTGAAGGCTTCTGTCTGAGATATAAGATAATACCTAGCCTGAGATTGGCTAGGTCCAATCTCATCAAGGTATTATCTTATATCTTCTTAAAGAAGAAGCCCTTTAAGTTCCTGTGCTCTGTGCAAACGTTAGGTAAAAACAAAGCATATGCAAATACCTTGTTGGTGCGTCATCCAGAGCCAATAACCACATCAGTATGTCTCAAAACGCTGTTTCATGTTGTCTCTAAATAGCATGGTCATGCTTACTTGGCTTGTTTTGATAATATCCGGGTTATAAAACTGGTGCCTCCTTGCAGTAGGCACCTTGGTAAGTATTAGCGACCACCATTTGAGAGAAAAATGACTGTTTAACCAGGACTGCCTTCTGTTACAGCGACGACTAAAAGCCAAGGCTAAGAAGGCCATTGAACAGTTACAGCTGCGCACACTGAAGCAAGGGGACAAGGTATGATTGATCCTATAATTTCCCGAGCATGATGGCACACCTTTTGCATAAACCCCCGAGGGTAGTCCTGGATATTGGAGCAGGATGCAGCAGTCTCTGAGCCCATAACTCTGTTGCAGAAATGGTTCCTCTTTCAGGCCAGGTCCTTTTCTGGGCTTCAAGACTTTCCAATTTGCACATTCTTATAAATTAGTTTATTTTTTTAGCTGCTTACTTGTAGTCTTGTGAAGATGAGAGTTCCTAACTTGCTGGCATGGATGGTTAAAGGTAAACTAGTATATCTAATCAGCTTCCCTGGCTATTTTTTTGTAACTAAAACTGGAGGTAGCAGTTTCTAAACCTCTACAATAGTGCCTCAAATAATCCAGTGGTGGTTTGCAGCTGAACTTCTAAACCATGGGATTAAACTTTCAATGCTTCCGTTAGTGTTGACTGTAAGTAATCCACACAATGTGCTTATATAAGGTTATACACAGGAGGGAGCTATTTTAGATTACTTCAGCTAGACCCCTTTGTCTGCAGTAAATCTGACTGTAGTTCAAAAGAAGCTTTCAAAGTCTGTTAATGCTGTAAATTCATTTCACTGCTTTAGGAAACTGGTCCTGATGGAGATAGCTGTGTTGTGTGCCTTGAGCAGTACAAGCTGAATGACATAGTGCGTACTCTGACTTGCAAGTAAGTTGTCTTCCAAACTACCTCTGTAATCCAAAATTTGGAAGCATGCCTCTTACAGGTTGTTCCTTCTATTCTGAAGAATGGAAAAATCTGTTGTTTGCTGAGCAGTGTTGTTCATCAAACACTATCAAATCTGAGCTGGGGTTACCTTTGTACCGGGTAAAGCAAAAAGCTTTCTTTGCTCTCAAGCAGTAGGACTTCTAAGCTGTTTTGATATCACAAAGTTGGCCTGTTAAGGTGTTATTGACAAACTTCCTTGATCTAATGCTTAATAGTTTAGAAAAAAAACAAAACTGCATAAGCTTTCAGGTGTGTTAATGATTATTCAGTTGTTGTGTTAGGTTTATGGTACTGGGTAGTCCTGTTTAGTAATGAAGTCAGTCCTATGAGTACAGAAATGTTGAGACAGTCTCTAGATACTTTTGGTTGATAGAAAACCTGACTTCTCATTATTTCCCTATAAACCCTGCTAATCTTGATATGAACTTGCAAACACAGCATGACTTACTGTGTTAAGAGAGGAGTAACTTCTTTCAAATGTATTCTTTATACACAAGTTTGCTGCATTATGCTTTGCTCTGAGACTGCTTTCACATACATTTGTGATGTTTCGCTCCTCTTTGGCCCAAATGTAGCTCTAAGAAGCACTAGCTTAAGATGACTGCATTTACTTGGTAAAGATCATCACCGGTGAAGATCATCAATATCGACCATATTAAATTCACATGTGTTATAAACTGATATTTACCGCAAGAACATACTTGATGTTGGTGGTTGACCTCAAAACGGAGGCCCTACTTGTTGAAAACCTTTAGCTATATCCATGAAAGAATCGAGCCAATCGAATGTTCCTGTGAGTCACATCAGTGGTATCTAAGTGTCTGGGGTGTGTGTATTTGTAGAAAGCGTTCTTGTCCAGATATTCAAACTGAAGGCATTTATACTAGCAGAGGTACACAAGACCAGTATTAAGTCTAAGTACTTAAAATAGTCACGTATCAAGGAAGTTTCAGGTTGTACTCTAGACGCTACGTTGGTGCAGCTGGAAGGAGGTGCTGGTTATGTGGACTGAATTGGAGAATCCTGATATCATAGCTTATTGAGCACTGGATGTGGTGATTTCTTCACTTGTCTCATAATACAGTTCTGATTAGTATTGAGCAGTGCCTGTCTGCCTTGCTATTTCCATTTAGGCTGAGGGAACAGGCAAATTACAGAATTTAAAGTCATTCTCCTCGATCTGTGTCCTAATTCAGACCCATTGTGGAATTGAGCGTCCTCATAGAAGCACACACTCGCATCTGTAATGGCTGAACTATATTTACTTTCTTGAGTATACAGCCTGCCAAGTATCCAGTTGGAATACACAGCAACTGCATAGGCAAAGTAAACGTGTGGGAGTATAGTTTATCTTCAGGACATAACTCTGAGATTATTTTTCTATTTCTTTTTCTAGTTTTAATAGAAACAAGTACTGTCTAGTCACCTGCAGCCACCTGGATTAAGTTACCCTTAAAGCTAAGGCTGAGCTGTCAGTATTTGTATTAATTAAATTATCAGCTGGGACTGTATTGTACACAGATTATTAAAAAAAAAAGCTTAAGACTGATGTAGCAAAGATGATAATCATGCTGAATTCTAGCAAGTTGTATAGAGATACTAATAAGCATAAACCAGCTACAGGTTCAGAGATCAACTGTCCATAACTTTCAGCTGAAACTTGTGGCAAAATAAGGCAAGCCATTCTAGGATGACTAAATTCTCAGTGTTTCTCCATGGACCTTCATAGCTGCCACAAACGGTTTTGCTGGTGTGAAACCTAACTGTTGGTTACGTTCTTCCTCCAGCCATCTCTTCCACAAGGGCTGTGTTGATCCCTGGCTTCTGGAACACAGGACGTGCCCGATATGCAAATGTGACATACTCAAAGTCTTGGGTGTTGAGGTAAGTCAGTAGTCTGTCTTAGTGGCAGATGCCCTTATCAATATTACGCTAGTGTAGTAACCACATACTGAGCTATTTCATGCTGCCTCTAGAGTGCCAGGGCATAAGCACAGGTGTTGCCATGTCAGTGGCGAGATGCCACAGGACTAACTGCTGTGTCCCCTTTAAGCAAACCCTGCAACTGACCTGGTCTGAGTTGGTGTTATCTAAAGCCAACCATGTCAACCAAAATTGATTGTCATGCATGACTGAAGAATTGCTTGTAGCTCTTGCACTTGCAGCTAAAGGTGTTTCTCAAAGCTTCAGGCAGACTTTGACAACTCATACTGTCCCTGAAACAAGCCTCTATTCAGTTACGAAGTACCTGGAGTCCTTGAAAAGTGAATGTGTTAGCATGTATGGCTTTCCTGGAGCTACGTGGCTTCCTGGGATGCATAAGGAATTTCTGATGTGTTCTGCAACTGCTCGTTGTGGCAAGTGCCAGGGGAAGATGCTGCAGCCTATGCCTGATGCTGCCTGGACCAGCTAAAATGTATGCCAGAGTTTGCTTTTGGGAGGAAAACAATCTGTTTTCCTGGTACTGGGCAGTGAAAGGGAAGAGCTGGCTGAAGAAGGCAGAAGCTGCATCTAACTTCCTGCTCAATTAGGCAGTAACTGGTTTTCACTTATGATTCTGGATGTTAACAGCAGAGCTTTTTTGTTTTTCAATTTTAAGATTTATTTTTTTTCTGGGTGAAAGTTCACTAGACTCCAGTTCTTGCAGGCATTGATCTCCTGGAAAGATGCAGCCTCCTACGAAGTTGTAACTTAACTGTTTTCTCTTTTTTTCACAAAGCTCGAAGACGAAGTGACTCAGTCTGTGCAAGCCACAGTATCCAGTGTGACATCAAGTGTCTCTATAGTTAACGAAGAGGATAATCATAGTGAAACAGCATCATCTGGATATGCCTCTGTACAAGGAGCAGATGAATCTGCTGTTCTGGAGGAACATGTGCCACCAGAAAGTGCGTCTCCTGTTTCATCGGTCTTGCCAGATTGCATTGCTCTTTGTTGCTTATGATGTGAACTAGGGGGGGTTTGCCTTAACATCTCACAGTGCTCAAATACCTTGTTTGTCAGGGTAATCCTAATCTTTCCTTTTGTTTAAGCGCTTGGCTCTGACTCTTGGTCTCTGTTTTCAAATGAAACACATCTTAAATGTGAATTAAAAGCTCAAGTCTGCAAAAAGAGTAGTTGAAAATCAGAGGCTTACTGCTTAAAGGCCAAAGATTTTTTTCTGAAGATGTCCCTCATCTCATTGTCTATTTGGAGATTTTATTTGGATGAGTGAGCGTTGCTTTGCCATGAGATCTGTCTGCTTTAAATAGTTCATTACTTACAGAAAACTTTTGGGGAGTCAGTCCTGCTTTAGCTTAGATGATGCAGAATAGAGATGACAAATACTTCAGTTGAATTTCTGATTTTTGCCAAGGCTGAGTCATCCTTGAACACTTTCAGAGAATTTTAATTGGCAACGACTATCAGCTTTTCCAAATACCTTATATTTTTGGACAAGAGCAACCTAATTGAAGATGTCTTTTCAGTGCTCAATTTTTCCGTTCTTAAAATCAACAGCAACACTAAGCATGTGTGGGCAAAGTTCCAGGTAAACAAACAAAAGTAACTGTCCCCTGGATTGTGGAATGGCCTTGAGAAGAGGAGTAAGTGGGGACATTTTCAGAGGTGAAAGGGATGCTCTGGCTGTGTTTACTTAGATTTCCTGCAGGAAGCCTACCTGATAGGAAAGTGTGGGATTTACTGCCTGCTGCCTGTGGAACATGTTGGTCCAGTGAGTGACGTGTGTATGGAAGTGCCCTGTTTAGGCACCTCAGTAGAGCAGAGGGCACATTCTATAGGCTAAACATCAGAAGTTGAAATTGCATCCCTATAAGCAACTGAAGTGGTGCTGGATTAGTTATATGGCTCAGGCCCTCACATATTCTCACTTTGAGTGGCAAGGACACACACTAACATCAGCCTAACAAGGTTAGTCTGGAGGGAAAAGGCTTTCCTCTCTGAATCAGCCTGTGTCCCGCAGTTTATCCTGAACCTAGTCTCTAGAAGTTGCTCCTGATGCTTGTCTTCAGCCCTAAAGTTATATGAGAATTGCTGGTCTCCTTATAGTTGGATTTTGTAGCCTCGCACAGCCTTCTGCAGCTTGAGCACAGAACCTTGGCTTGCTCAGCACTAGTGAGAAGTGAACTCCAGAGCTGAGCAGATACCTCTAGAAATGACAGGTAGTGTCAAGAATGGGCTCACAAACTACTGAGGGGCAGCAGAAGAATGGTAGCTGAAGCATGGCCTTGGATTTCCCACTCTGCAGGAAAAGTCTTGGGAAAAGCCCACTGCAGTGGGCTTGTGGTTTGCTTTAAGGTAGTAAAGCTTGCCCAGGACACTCTTAACTTGTCTTTCCTTGGTTTTGTTCTGGACAGATGACAACATGCATCTTGTGAACAATGAATCTCAGCCTCCAGCTATGAATGTTCTTCCACATGTTGACAACCCAAGTTTTGAGGCAGACGAAACACAAGTTTGTGAAGTCAAGTCCTAAGAACGTGCCCAGCAACGTGGCGTAAGCCTTCTGCAAGGAGCTGCCTACTGCCACCATATACCACGTATTGCAAGACTGTAGCAGAAAAATGTTGCCTTGACAATGTTGCGATCAAATAGACTTGTTCAAATCATAACCGTATGGTTTGTCCTTCTTAAAACTGTGTCTCCCATGTGGAATTTAGTTTTAGCACTCTTGAGATAAAGCTGTCTTAAATGTAAAGAAAACCATCAGATTTTAACATAAAACCAAAATTTCCATCTTCAGCAAAGCTTCTCTTCAGTGTTCAAGTCATTTAAATAAGGAGAAGATTCTTTGTTGTAGCTGTCTCTACTGGGAGTTGTTTTGACTTGGGTTTTTTTTCATTGTTTTAATTGAAGTGGATTTTCATCGTAAACAAATTGACTTTGATCTGGTCTACTACTTATTTACAAGACACAGTTTAGTTTAAAGCAACACTGTATGTAATATTTCAGTGCACTAATTTGATAGGAGAAAGTACAAACTAATGCCTGTCAAAGTGGATTTTGCCCACAGTGTCTTCTGTTCTCTAAACTGATTGATTCTCTACCTCTCAACTCCAGCCTGCCAACCACACATTCCTAAAAGGGAAAAAGAGAGCTTCAAGCTGACAGGTCAAATGTGACTTGCACAATACTGTAAAGGGAACAATTGCAGGAACTTTTCAAACCTGTTAATATTAGACAGTCTGAAAGGATCCTCCATGATTTTTGGAGCTATGACCATCTCCAGCACCAGTAATTTGCCAGAGTCCTGGCTTTGTGAGTCTGGGATGACTTCAGGAAGGCTGGACTAGAGATGAAAAGATAGATCCTTCCCAAAGGATCTGCTGTGTTTTGCTGAGAAAACGATGCAGCCTCTGAAAAATGCTGGACTGTTGCTGTGCATTGTCTTGCCTGTGTGCTACAGCTGCAAGGAGAGCTCATGTTCTGCAAACCCAACAGATAGTTGGAGAAGTTGTCTGCCGTCTGTGGGGAGTTGAACCGGGGTCGAGGAAGCCTGGGTGCCTCAAGAGTAAGTGTAGGGCCTTGCCCAGTGAAGGTAACGAAGGACATCTTACAGATGCACTTTATTTTTTTTATCTCTGTCTATGGCTTGTTTCTAATGTTAGCGGAACTTTTGTCTTAAAGCCTGCAATAAAGTATTGAATTGGAGGGGAAAGCAATGCATTTTCTTATCTATAGTACAATTAAAACTGTTGTAAATATTTCATGATTTGTATTGAATTTGAATATGAAAATGTAAATAAAACTATATTTTGATGACCCTGACTGATGTTAAAGGTTGGTTACCAGCTCTCGGATGGAAACAGATGCTGAGTTTGCATTGTCCCACAACCCCAAACTCATTCAGTTTAGGTAGGCCAAAAAGCAGCAGTGCTTGCTCAAACGAGTTGGAATAATGTTACATGGATTGAGATTGTGTTGAGTGGCTTAAGCCTAGTAGCTGTACTCCATATAAAGAAAACCCAGAGCAGGTTAGGGTGTGTTCAGTGAGTTGCTTGATATGCCTCTGAACTGTTTTTCTAGGCATGTCTTACATGAACTCTTCAGCTCAGACAGGTTGCATCTCGCTTTCCTCTGTCAGGTTGCTCTGTATCCCTCCCTTACTCAAAAGTTTACGCTTGCTCTGTAAGACAAAGTATTTTAAAAACAATTAAACACCTGTTGTTCTGTACTATACTATTAGATGTAGTAAAAACTTGTCACCAGGTTGGTAGTAGTTAGTCTTGTGCTTCTTTTTAGCTCGGTTCCGAGTCTAGTCGAGGAAGCATTGGTTGGTGATGGGTGCAAATTGCAGAGCCGAGTACAATCGGACTTCACTCTGAAGCTGTATTTTGCTATGATCACCCTTCTGTTCTACATCTGAAGTACAGAGAAGAGAAAGGAACAGCCAAGCAGTAAATATACAAACCCTGAACACTTAATTTCATTTTTCATTTCAAAAAGCTTTTATAAATTTATTGTGGTGGTGAAGTTGTAATGTAGCAGAATTTCATGATGATATGCTGTCATGAAATCATCTGCTAGTTTTGTGTTTAATAGGAACAAGATTTGACTTTCAAAAAAAAGAGGAGGAATTCAGATTTATTTGATACCTTGAAATATGTGCTTCCGACATATTTTCTTTTTCCCAATCTATACATTTGGGTTGCTTTGTTTATAGGATTCAAGTCTTTCTATTTACTATCTTTTAAGAGCCATAAACCTGCCTTTTTTCCAGTACTGATGTTTCAAAGGGTTAAGTGGATGCACAGTGTTTTCTCAAGGAATGCACTGGTGGAGTACGGGGGGATGCAGCATTTTGTGTCAGTGAACTCCTGCTACTGTAGGAGGACCAGATGAGGGGTATGTGTTCTGTCAAGATGTAGACTTGCTTGCAGCTCGAGGCACTTACACTAATTTTCAGGAAGATTTTTTGAGAGTCTTGTATCAAATGTGAAGTACTGCTAAAGGACGAAATGCAGCATTTGTACCTGAACAGTATCTGAGCTACTGACAGGCAGAAGGATTTAATGCTGCTCTGGTTTTGCAGCTTAACCTGCGAGTCTGCCGTGTTCTCGTGCATGCAGATCTATTTGTAAATATTAGCTATGCAAGGGTTTTTGTTTAAAAATGAAAGCATGCCAATTTCATGCACGCAGTCTATGATACTGAACTTGGGTCTGTTGCTGTCTGAAAAAAACCACTTTCTTATTTCACTGAACTCTGCAGAGGTTTTCGCCTTTGAGAACGTTGCTACAGTTCTACTTGTTTTAAAGAAATTTCAAAGCTCCACTCACACTTTGTATTTTCAAGTTTCCATGGATTGCAGCTGTCCTTAGCTGATCCTGCTTAGAGCACTGCGCAGCAGATATTTTTTATTTGGTTTTTTTTTTGTGATCCTACAAGCTTTGATGGCTGCATGTTATGTGTGCTTATGTATGTGCACTACGGCATGATCGACTCTTTCCTCTAAGCAAGAGGCAAACAGAAGTGTGCCTGGGGATAGGGTTGCTCCTGAAATGCAATGCCAGCTTGCTCTTACTCTGTGATAGTTTTGGATTTTGCTATATATACATCAACGTTGCATGTAAGATGCTGGAAATTATGTGCCCACGAGTGGTAACGATTGCTAAAATGTGTGTCTCTTGACTCTGTTAGCATTCCCATGGAGTCACACAGACATGTCAATTATTCTGCCCCCAAAGAGAAAGCGTTTACTCACGGCTGTCATTTATCTTTCCCCCAGGAAAGCTTTGATCTAAATGTTTCACTCAAACACTTGCATGCTCTCGAAGGGGGACTGGTAAAGATTTTTTTTTATCCCTGCAGGAGAGGAAGCCTTGACACCTGGTGCTGGATTACTGTGCTTTCTTGTAAACCAGGCTTTACAGCAGCAGGATTTTTGTTTAAATCCCAAACCAAGATAACACAATTTTCTCATATTGAGGAAAGTTTTCAGGTGTCCCTATAGAAATGTAGTTATAGCTGAGATTTTTGTGTAAGGGAAAAGCAGGACTTGTGGTGAGGGGCTGCAAACATATAAAAGCAATTCAAGTCAAAAGGGCAGTTGGACTCTTCCCATGAAACAGAGAGACTTAGTCCATCTCAGTCTTCAGATGGACAGATCTGCACTTGTCAAGTGACCTAACAGTTGGATGGAATAAATATACACACCTACCTTGGCTGTGTGATTTAATGTGATTTCATTCCGTGTTTAACATACACCAGCTCAGCAGGTAGCCCTGCCTTTCACCCTGGTTTGGACTGATGTTTTTCCTGTGCAGACTGGAATAGAGTTCCACTCCCGCAGGGCTGTAATGGCTGGCGTTTTGGAACAGAAGAAAGCAAATCTACTGGCTTTGGCAATTTAATTTTGGCTTTAAAGGAAACTAGAAACCAAATTGCAATGTTCACCTCCTGTGAATTAACAACTGTGTAATTCTCTACACCGGTTGCAGTTATAACTATATAACTGTTGGTTATACAGAGCGAAGTCAAAATTTATTTATATAGCTATTTATCTAGTTATATAATCTTGGCTATGGTTACTTGAGGGAAGTAATTTACTATTTCTAGGAGGTCTTTAATACAGTGAAGGAAAAATCCTGCAGCACTAAATGGATCTCCGTTGCTTAGAATGCATTGATTAGACTGTAGGATGATTGTGCACTGATTAAGAAAGAATTTAAGTGCCTATAAATAAATTCCTCCAAGCCAAGGGAATTGGAAAAAGACAGACATTCCAAGACCTTGAACCAAGGGAGAGGAAAACAAAACTGACACTTTCTAAGCAGTAGCATTTTACTGTTAAATTTTTACTTGATTAACAAAGTTTTAATCTTACATAAGAAAGCAATGTATGTCCTAACTTATGTCAAGAGTGTGTGAGGCACCAAAAGCCAAGCTGTGGGTTGGAAGTGCCAAGGGCATCTCTCCTTACAATTAGCATCGGAATTAGAAGACCTGTGTTAGATCCTTAATAAGTATTTCCTATCCAAGAGCTTGGCTAATTGGGGGAAATTAAATGCTGAACACTCTCTCTGGGAATGCTCTTAGAAGAGCAGCATCCATGCAGGAATCACTCTATCTGTTCAGCTGGTAAAACTCCAGGAGCTCGCTAATGTCTGTTGCTCTCAGTCACTTCAAGTGGGGGGACTGAAGAAACTGCCTTATGCAGAGTGATGTGCTAGTGAATCTCGGGGTTGTTTCCTTGTCTCATTAATGTTTTATCTAGGTTAGTTTCCACATGCAGGCTAATGAATTTTAATTCATTTTTCCTTTCCAGTAAAGGTAAAGCACCAGAAATTTGTTGCTTCCTACTCTGTTATAAAAACAAGTAAAAAGAACAGTAGTATTAGTTAAATCTACATTCAGTCCCAAAGGTAAAATCTTTTAGTACTGTAATTTCTTTTGCTGTGGTGCAATGAGTGATTGGGAGAAAAGGGGGAAAAAAAAGAAGTCTCATACCAGTGCAATTCACCCAATTTTGCTGCC